GAGCTGTCCCTTTGACAGTTTATCCCTGCACAGTGTGCAGAAAACAGTTGAACCATGAAGAGGCTCCCATCCCAGCCTCACCCCCCACAGCATGGCGCCCAAGGCAAGCAGATAGGTCTTACATTTTTTAATGTTTTCTAGTACTATACTGGTCTTGCCAACCTTTATATTGCATAGAAAAGTCCTGTTATCACCTATATTTCCTGTACATAGCAAGCAACTCTTTAATATTATATTACAGTCTGTCCTATGATTTGCTGAAATAAACTCACAGCTATATACACTGGTGTAGATAATAATTAAGATAGCACAGATACTTTGCTGTTTACGTTTGTAGATATGTTTCCGTAGCTATCAGTTGCCCGTGGCAAGGCATTGGTTCCAAGCAGCTGTTTGAAAGACATTAGCATTTTGCCAACAAGCAACCTAAATGTGAGCTGTCAAGAGAAGCAGTTAATGCCATGTGAAAATCAATAGTGCACTGCTGTGAGTGATGTTATTTCCCCCCAACAGGTGGACAGAGTCCTTCATGATGGGATTAGGTAAGGTGGGTGAAGGGATCTCTATTTTCAGACATGTTAAGCTGTTGACTTTGATGCTATAATAAACTATTATGTCTCCTGCTTGTTCGGTAGGCAGTTGTATACTACTGAATAAAAAAAGGTCTGCGGGTCAGATTTCACACGTTTACTGGCTTAATGCAGTTTACAGCTTCCTTTGCCACTTCTCATTTTCATACTTGTCATCTACATGTTATCATTAAACCCTGACTGTCGGTCTTTATTCTTCATATGACAGTCACTGTTTTTCATCCATGGGATCTTACTCAGGGGCGTAACTACAGATCATGGGGCAAAATTTTGATGGTGCCCCCAGTGAACTGCCTACTCTCATTCATCTTAACATATCGTATGTCTAAACTAGGGACAGGTAGCAGGAGGCCTGTCGGCATAGTCATAACACTACGAGGGAGTAGACATGTGTAAATCATAAAAATTCGGATGAAATGAATGAAAAATAAAAACCTTTTCATTCGTCAAACGAAACTAATAATGATGCTATTTCGGATTAGTAGGTTCATTGCCTCCGTATCCAAAATAGCATAATTGTTAATTTCGATTAACCAAACATGTAAATAGAAGAACGTTCTGCAGCCATATTGGCCGCCGGCGTGTTATCCGTATGTGTACTGCCATATTGTATACATGATGTGTGTATACATCAAGATGGCAGCGTATAATGATTTGTTAATTCGGATTCGGACAAACTGCAGAATCAACAGAATTTTGTTGATTTGCAGGTTCATCCATATCCGAATGCACAGGTTTATTAGGGAGAAATCCTGTGGATATACATTATCAGAGAAGAGGGAGTATCAGTGCAGGGAAGTCACTTTAACATTAATATTTAATCTAACTGATCTGTCCTCAGTGTCTCATTAGTCTTTTTCAGTATATCAGATCTCAAAACCTTAGTGTACATTCTAAAGCATTCCACCCATTTCACCACTGCAGCAAGCAATTGCCGAAAGTGGTGGTGTAGTAGTCAGTAAAAAGAAAAAAAAAAGTTGTAGTAGCAGTAATTATGACCATCACAATCATTTCTATTATGACATAATTGTTAGTATTTCTGCACACAATTACTTTATACCCCTAAAACAGGCATCTAACACTGTGAGGTTTTTTTGTAGGCCTACAAACAGCTGAGGATACAGTCTAAGAGTTTTACAGCCTGAGGAAGACTGTGTTAGACATTCAAGGTCAGTTTCAGTGCTGGCCAGGATGAACAGAAGCTCTAGGGGCAATATATCTACACTGTTAAGACAGCTAAATTCTCCTTACTGCACAGCCTGCCTAGAGGATCTGTGACTAGCAACAACCATTCTGAAATCTAGTACATCATATGTCTGTGAAGGTTCTCATTCATTCAGGTCATGTGAGACATCTATTGTCTGCCACATACAATGCTATTTTAACACGTCTCTCTGGGCAGGTGAATAACACCTCATAGACTCCATTTATGCAAATGCAATCAACACCTGCTTGTGACTAACAGATTATGTAGATTGGAGCAACATTCACCATATTTATTCCCAGATAATTTTTTGTACAAGTCATTCTGAATTGAGAAAGCTGGTTGGATGACCAGTGAAACGTCTTCAAGAAAAATACAGCAAGTCCAGTTGCCTTGACTTATTTTTTACAGATGTACTAGTACATCATACATCTTGATTGGAAATGTCACAGCAGATACAGTGTCAGCAGCATCATATTCCTTAATAATGCAGCGATAAATATGCGTTATCTTCACATGCACACAGATTTTCTATGTCTATGTTATCTTAAAGGTCCTCCTTCCACCCCCAGGCTCCATAGCAACAGAGTGGGCTGCTGTGGATATTGTGGCACCACTGGTCTGATTTGAATGATTCTTTTTTTGTGTTCAAATGTTCTCAGATAATTTTTTTAACATGCTAGAACATCTAAAAGTTCTGTACTGCTACATTGCATTGTTTTAAAATGATTGATGTCAGTCATTCCTTAAAGGAGAACTATGAGGTGAGTGCTTTTCACTCTCCTCATAGTTCTAGCCGACCTGTGACAATGAGACTGTCACAGGTCGGCTCAGTAGATCATTAGGTGAGCGAACATATACCGGCGTTCGCTCACCTCTCGATCCTGTCACGGCTCTCTGCCGTGACAGGGGAGGGGCTGGATTCCCCCCCTCCCCGCTCTGATCCGCTAGCGCTGACTTGCGGATCGGACGGGGGAGTTGTGGGTACAGCTGGCTCTGCCTCTAGATAGGCAGAGCCAGCTGTCACTCACGCAGCTGGGCGGATCTCGACATCGACATAATTGTCGGGATCCGCTCCAGCTGCGGCGTCTCAGTATACCGCGAGCTGTAGCTCGCGGTATACTGAGCTTAGGGTAACGGGAGGACGCTAATTTGTGTCCTCCCGTTACCCTAAGGAGAACTATGGGGAAAAGCCCTGACCCCATAGTTCTCCTTGAAGTACGTGTTTGCTGAACTTGCTTTAGCTGGAATAGCTTGTCAGAAAATTAACACACATCTTCCTGCCTCCCAGTTGGCTATTGAATGCATCCAATAAATAAATAAAAATTACAAATTCTTCTCCTTTGGAAAGAGTCTGCATCCAATCAGGGCATCACCCTTTCCATAACTGCCCCAGGAGCAAAGTTCGCCTTGGCCATGAAAATACACCTTGACCAATGGCACTGCAATAAAGTGGGGTCATATCTGTTTGGATCCTGGAGGCTTTTATTTAACCTATCAGCAGTGATTATTATACCTGTCCTCAAGTACAACTAATAGTATATGCAGGGCTCGAAAATCCACTCGTCTGCTCGTCTGTGACGAGCAGACAGTGGAGCCCGACGAGCAGCTTCCAGGCCGGCCGTTGTAATTACACGGCCGGCCGGGAGCTTTACAGTCAAGCGATCGAGCGTCTATAGAGACGCTCGATCGCTTGTGTCAGAAGCTGTCACTGCCGTTGCCGGTCCCGAGATCCGCTGTGCCCGATGCGGCCGGGACCGGCACGGCTCTGTGACAGGAGATCAAAGGGAGTTCAGTACACGAACTCCCTTTGATCTCCTCTCAGTCCCCGAATGCAGGAAGTGATGTATATTACATCACTTCCTGCATTCAGTGTCACTCTCCAGCTAGAGAAGCTGATGAAGCCGATCTCTGCCTCATCAGCTTCTCTGGGGGTCCTTAGGTGACTTTAGGGGTCTTGGAGACCCCTGATGTCTCCATTAAGAGGACCTGTCATGCAAATTAGCTATCACATAGGGGGCTTCTTAGCCCCCCATGTAATAGCAATAAAGTTGTGTTAAAAAAAGTAATATAAAAATTAAAGAATCATAAAAAAATAAATAAAGAAGCATAAAAAAAAAATTAAAAAAGAAAACATTTTTTTAAGTCCCCCGCCCCCCACATACACACGTAGATATGCGTTGGGTGCGCCTACGTGCGAAAACGACGATTGCGCCTATAGTGCTGCACATGTTACATATCGCCGCAAATGTCGGAATGAGAGCAATAATTCTAGAGCCATCAATCACTGATAACACTAAACTGATGAGCAGTAAAAGCATTTTAATCGTCGCGTATGGGCGTTTTTTGCGATTTTGCGGGTGCACGCAATTTTAAGGCTTGACATGTTTGGTGTCTATTTACGTGACCCCGACTTTTATGTTGTACTAAAAATATGGGTAAGAATAAATGTTTTATAACATAGGGAAACGTTTTTTTTTACATTTATGGTACTTTTTTCATTATATAGTAAAAAAATCACCCCCCGTGGGGTCACAAAACAAAGCTCTATCTGTCCCCAAAATGTTTTAACATATATTGCAAGGCTATAGTCCGGTCATGCTGACTGGTGAAATTTTTGACTGACTGGTGAGACACCGCCAAATTTTTCAAGCCCTGAGTATATGTTTTGTTGATATACACACAGTAAGATAAACCATATTACTCAGACACTAATTACTCTACCAGTGTGTATACAAGGTTACTGCTGTTGGGATTTGAGGACCAATTTGAGAAACATTGAAGATCGCAAATATTGTCTAAATATAAATATTGTGAAATAGACAAATACTGTCTAAGTACAAGAGGCATGTGTACTCTTACTTGAATCTTGGTGTGTTTTATGTATTTTTTTTCAGATCTGTGCAGTACTCCAGGCGCTTCCTGTAATAAAGACTGACCAATGCTGCTCTCTCCTTGTGCAGGGTGACTGAACTTGTATCTGCCTCCTCCTCTAGTCTCTGCAGGCAGCCTGTAGTGAGTGGGGCCTGCTGGGTCCCTCCCACTACGCTGCTCCCTGAACAGGCTATGTACAAGGTAATAATTGCATGTGCAAAGGCATTTGGTGCACACAAAGATGATTTATATCCTTTGTGGCTATTGAGGGATATATTTAAATTATTTTTTAGTGCTTGGAGCTCATCTTTAGGATAAATAAAGATGTTTACCGTTTAACACGGATGTGGAGACTGCCACCTGAAGAGTCTATCATCTGCATTGCCTCTGCATGTGATAGTCCTGTGCAGGGTTTTCCATTGATGGCGACCAGTTCATCATTTTCTCTTAGTCCACCTCGGCATGCCTTGCTGCGCTTACGTACCTACAAAATAAAATACAGGAAAATATGATTATTGGCAAATATTGGCGATAAGTAAAGCTAGAGCTACACTGGTGATTAAATCTCTTTGCTACTGACATATTTTACTCTGTGTTTGCAGCCATCTTAGGCAACACATTGATTTTAGACTAGTACAACCCATAAGTTGGCATACACTTGCAATACATCATAGCAGTCAATCTGATTTTAGTTTGTTGACCCATTTAGATGATATTATCTGCATTAAGGCAGCATATTTATTCTTAAATGGGCTGACAGTGCCCCTTAACATGGAAAATTGGACCTGCACCTTTTTTTCCAATGCGCCACACCTTAACACAAACATGGTTCAGATCTGTTCATTGTGGTTTGCTAAAATGCACTTGCATAGAGGCTAGGAGTGTTGGGGTACTATTAAAAATGAATCGGGTTGGTGTTGTGACAACGCATCAGTATGAAAGGGCTCCAAAATTGGCTCCCTCCCAAAGGGCTCACTACTAATTAGCAGGGTAAGTATAACCATTGCCAGGCAGCATCAGATAAAAACCATTGAACAGTCTCACTTAAGTGCCAAGTTACTACTATTTAAAAATATCTAAACAATACATCTTTTCCCATGGCATAATTAGAAATAGGCATTGGTTGCTTTGTCCTGTGGTGATTGAAATTCACTGTTAAAAATATGTAAAACTAGGGCCAGTGTAAGGGTGGCATTTTAAAAGTGTTCCTGTTTCCTTTAGACACAGACGAGAATCTTTTACCATATTATGTGTGCACTTCATATACCCAGTGGGTTTTATCTAAAAAGAAAACACTTTTTTAACCAGACCAGGTATTTAAAATGAGCATAGGCCCAAGTTAAAATGACTGCTTTTGTAAATTAACTCCAACAAGCATGGTGCTACAGCTACATATGACCTGATAAACTTGCAATGTATGCACTAAAGGGTATCCCAATTTCCTGTTCCAGAACACCGCCTGACATACCAAGCACATTGCCAAAGCTTCTAGACTGAGAGTGGAAACTATAATCTGTAAACAAGGTTGATTGATTAACACATACCTAAAAAAATAACAGTGGTAAAAATAAAATAGTAAGGGTGCAGTTAAAGCAATGTGTTTATTCTGGTGGTCACAAACTCATTTCCTTCAAAAAGCTAAACAGAACTCTACTTATGGGGAGGTATACCGCATTTGTAGTGGGCCTACCTGGCAGCCGACCTTTCTAGCAAAGGACAGTGGGAAGGTGAGGATTTAGGGGAGACCATATTCCACCCTCCTAGCAAATATTTGCTGCAGAGACAACCAGTCCAAATCCAGCCCTTGTTTTGCTTTTGATTAGAGTGGGAAAGGGCTAGACTTAGTGCCTGTTTTTTTTATTTATGACTTCATTGGGAAGATATATAATCCTGTGACACCAATACAAGAAATCACAGGCATCAATAAATACCTCACACAGACAGGTTCTAACCCTTCCCTACTCTATTTAAAGCAAATATGTTTTTGGAAGAAATTGGCCTTTAGAATAACAGCATAGTGATAGTTAATTTAGAGAAGGACAAGATTTATGACTGAGGAACAATCCATGGGCTTTTGCCATGTACAGAACAGTACAGTGTAAATGTATTCAGGTGAAGTACCTTGGATGTGTGCAGAAATCTGTTTTTGATGTCAGCCACCGGATATGTTATTGTTACCATTCAATAGGATGGTAGAAAAAAAACTAATTATGACCACCAAGAGAATCAGAACGATTGATTTCCAGCTATATTCCCAACTCCTAGGCAGATATAACCCATATTTAAAGAAAAAGAGGAAAGGATTGCCTGGAAGTAAGTTTAGGAGACAGAGATTCCCCTTGAAGACAGGTTATTAAAGAGTTGTTTATCCAATATGATGTTGAATCCAATGGAGCTGTAGCCTTGCCCATCCAACAAATGATGTCTGGTATTTAGGGAAGAGCAGAGATTGCAGCTGAGGTATAAACATGCAACCGTGAGTTTAGAACTATGATTCTCAGCAGTCAAGGATAAAGGACAACCACAGGGATGCAGCAGAGCCTTGATCCTCCTGCGTCAATTAGGAGCATTTTAGGACCTCTGCATGTTCCTTGTTTGATCACACAGTCTTTTAGTACTTATGTCTGTTTTCAATGACATGCTTTGGTTGTTGCTTCTGCCTTCCTGATCCAGTGACAACCACTACCCCTATTTTAACCCTTCCACCCCCTATCCTAAACTTAAACAAAATTGTCTGAATAATTTACCCTACAGTAGGATCATAGATATAAGACTTCAGTAGATGGCTCAAATAAAGCTGGCTACACACTGAGCAAATTTTGGCTGGTTCATCAAGGAATTCGCTCAGTGGGTGGTCCTGTGTGTTGCTTCTGACCAGATATTCTTTGATTGACCAATCCAAGAAGCTGAGCAGAAAATTGTCAACTGAACAGCACCTACATCCAATAACATGAAGGTACTGTTCAAGTATTTTAACAGCTGGCAGGGCCAATTGCCACAATCGTCACAATGCAATAGCTGCAGCTAGGGGATTCCTCCATCCACACTGTTTAGTACAACAGAGGAATCTGTTAGGACTGTGTTTTATAGTCAAGGGCTATATATGTGTAAACCTCCTACACAATATATCTGGGATCATTTTCTGGTAAGAAATGCAATGGAGCAAATGTGGTTTTATGGACCAATACCCAGAATACATAGGAATTTCCTTTTGTAAAGTAAAATGAGTGACTGGTAAGCAAGGGCACAGATGATGACAGTCATATACCGCTCAGCTTTGCTCAGCTATGTAGAGAGCTGTGAATAGAACTCATTCTGGGCACACAGTGGAGGCTAAAAATATGACAGCAGCTCTCCAGCTGTCTGGACATTCCTGAAAAGAGATTTAAAAAAGATTGTGGGGATCAGACTAAATTACATGACAAGTTTTCAATTTGGGAAACAGAAACCTTTATCATTGTGGAGTCAAAGCCAACTGTATACAGGACAATAACAGGAAAAGTAAAAAAAAAAAAAAAACGCCACAAAGTCCAGAAAATAATTTTTTATTTTAATTACAATTGAATGAAAACGAATGACAGTTAGCTTAGTCATAGAAATAGCTTTGGTTAGGTTTGGCTCATAAATGTCAGCCCTTGAGATGGTGATACACTCTAATTTGCTGCTAGCTATTAGTGAGTCAGGACCATGTTCCACTAATGTCAAAGGTTTAGGCTTGTATTTTAGAAACCATTCTGCTGAAATAACATGCACAATGCTGCCACCTTTAGGTTAAATGGTAAAATACAATGGAGCTTATCTGTCATAATCTAAAGGGTGCCATAATGTGCTGTAACCTACAACATCCATTCAAAAATCTTCAATAGTTTGAATTAAACTTTTCAAAGTGGATAAAGTAAGGATGAGCATGCCTTATTTTTTCTTCCAAAGTGCACCAGGAGAATGTGCCATAATGTGTATAATTTAGAGCTCTGTCTCCCAACAAAGGTGCAAAATTAGGTGGGGTATGTGACAGCACTGACTTCTGAGCTGCAAAAGCCCTGTTAGCAAGGAGGTTACTCTGTTTGGTTCATCTGCTCATTTAAATAGATGTAATCAAATAGCAGATGTACTTTATCTAAACTACATTGTTTAGCGGTAACAACTGATATAACACTTCTATGAATCTCAGTGCTTTACTTAATATGTTAATGATTTTTCACCCCAAATAATTTTAAGGTTGGGTAAAAGAAAGTCTTAAACCAAACAGACTTGCTAGGCAAACACATTTTAGTACCTATTGCTAGGGATGAACCAATCAGCCTGAGTTTGATTAATTTTCTGTTCGTTGAACCCATCAAAGGGTCCGAAAATTGTGAGCCTGAATACAACCCTATTTAAGTCTATGGGAAAGGGGGGTGGGCAATCTTGAAAATCATTTCTGGACATTTAAAAAAGAGCCAGAAAAATTGTACCGACTTAATGCACACTATGTAAGCAGCTTTAGTAGGCTGCAGTTTAAGAGGGAGAGACCAGGCAGGCCTACTTGATCAAAATTAGCGTATATTATTTCACAGAAAAAGTCACAAAAATTGTACAATCATCCCAGGCTTTATACAAACAGCTTCAGTAGCCTGCAGTTTAAAGTTGTACATACACTATTTGAATTTCAACCAGTTCTTCAGGAACTGGCTGAAATTCGCACAGTGGGTGCGGTGTTCTCACCCTTTCAGCTGGCATCCCTCGATCAGCTAGTTGAAGAAGCCAGTTGGAAAATCTTAGAACAAAGAGAGCCGGCAGCTCATTGCCGGGTGGCTGCTGTCAGAATGAAAAGTAAACAGCGGGGATTCCTCGATCAACGCTTGTAAGTGTTGATGTAGGAATCTGTTCTAGTTTTTTTGCTTAGCCTGTGGGTTTAACGTAAAACAGTGTATGGTCAGCTTAAGAGGGAGAGGCCAGGCAGGTTTTCTTGTAAAATATAAAATAGAGTGCAGTATTTCAGAGACAGTAGCAAAAATATTGTTCACACTCCATTCATATTATTTAAGCAGCTTTAGTAGGCCACAGTTTAAGCGGGAGAGACCCTGTTAGTTTTATCATTTTATTAGCCTGAAATTTTGTACAGACTCAATGCAAATTATGTAAGCAGTTTTGCTAGGCCATAATTCAGGAGGGAGAGATTATTATTATATTATACAGAGGGCTGTCACACTTGCTGTAGTTGCAACGTATGGGATCACAACTGCGGAGTGTAGCAGGGTGGTGGGTGGAGACGGCTTCTCAGGCTCGAGTCCCAGGCGTCACTCCCAATCTTTAGCGGGAGTTTGGGACTCTAGCATCACAGCCGTATGTAACAAAAAAGGGTTAAATGCAGAACTATTGCGTCATAGCCTAGGCTACTAATCACTAACTGAAAATAGGAGGTACGTTTGAGGATGTATAGATAGTGAATTGACACCTAGGGGTTGATTTACTAACCTTATAAACATGCCACGAACAAGTATA